CCAAGGAGTGGGGTCAAGGGGCTCCAGGATTTATATCTGATCAGTAAGCACAGGTCACAACCTGTGCTTGAGACTGGCATTGAAATGTGTGCACTATTGTGGGACTGAGCCCTCAAAGTGTGGGATCTGATGCCGTGTCCAGGCAGATAGTGTCAGAATGGAACGGAATGAGAGAACACGCACCTGGTGTGTGTGGCAGGATTGCTTGCTTGGTGTGTGTGGGAAAACCCAGTACCTCTCGGCTAACAGTAGCGTTCTGTGTTGTGAGAAAATAGTAGAAGAAACTGAATCAGTTTTTCCTATATTCTTAAACACGTGAACTTTTTTGTTTTTTTTTTCTTCTTCTTCTTCTTTTTTTAAGACGGAGTCCTGCTCTTGTCGCCCAGGCTGGAATGCAATGGCATGATCTCAACTCACTGCAACCTCCACCTCCTGGGTTCAAGCGATTCTCCTGCCTCAGCCTCCCAGAGAGTTGGGATTACAGGTGCCTGCCAGCACACTCGGCTAATTTTTGTATAATTTTTGTATTTTACAGCTTCTCAAGTAAATTGACAGTAGGTTACCTCAGTGAGAAAAGTTGAAATAGTTCAAGGGTACCAACATGGAGCTGCATAAAAGGTCATTACATACACACACACATCGACATCCATAAGACCTTTACTACTCTTACGATTAAGTCAGTCATGTGATAGCAGAGAACAAATTTAAGGCCATGGAAAACATTTAAGATATAATTTCAAGTGTTAAAAAAATACAAAACTTATTTCACAGGATGATGTGTCCTTGATAAAAACCATGGGCTTCTGCCTCCATACACTAATGCATGCACATCACATGTACACACAATTAAATAAGAAGAGTTGTGTCTCAAGGACTCACTTTTGTCAATGATTTTTAAAAATCACCACTTTTCCTCATGTGCATTTCAGCAAGTTTGGGACACTGGAAATGTACAAATTGCACTTAATGTAGTTTATAAACACTACTGTATATCAAACTACTAAAAATTGTACAACAAGCTGTTGTGGCTCATGGTTGTAATCCCAGCACTTTGGGAGGCTGAGGCGGGCAGATCACTTGAGCTCAGGAGTTCAAGACCAGTCTGGGCAACAAAGCAAGACATCATCTCTACAAAACAAATTTAAAAATGAGCTGGGGATGGTGGTACATGCCTGTAGTCCCAGATACTCAGGAGGCTGAGGGGGAGGATCTCTTGAACCCAGAATTTTGAGGCTGCTGTGAGCTATGATAGACATCATATTCCAGCCTGTCTCAAAAATAAAAAAAATTAAAACTATTAAAAAATGGTATAACATAAAAGTACCATATAGAAACCTGAACTCAGGCCGGGGCCGGTGGCTCACACCTGTAATCTCAGCACTTTGGGAGGCCGAGACGGGCAGATCACGAGGTCAGGAGATGGAGACCATCCTGGCTAACATGGTAAAACCCCATCTCTACTACCAAAAAAAAAAAAAAATTAGCCGGGCGTGGTGGCGGGTGCCTGTAGTCCCAGCTACTCGGGAGGCTGAGGCAGGAGAATGGTGTGAACCCAGGAGGCAGAGCTTGCAGTGAGCTGAGATCATGCCACTGCACTCCAGCCTGGGTGACAGAGCAAGACTCTGTCTCAAAAACAAAAAAAAACAAAAAAACAAAACTTGAACTCCAATATCTATTAAACACACATATCTAAAAAAAAAAAAAAGTACAAGTTTATGCAATGAAATTCAGATATTTAGGCATTAACAAAAGCCCAATGGAGTGTATTAGTTTATTCCACTAATAAAACCATAACAAACAATTAGACAGTTTTTTAGTATTACGTATTAATTTAACTGATTTAGAAGAAAAATATGTTTAGCAGCAGTACTTACCTCAAAAAATTATTGGGTCATTAAAAATCAGTCTGAAAAGGAAATTTGGAAAAAAAAAATTATCACAATCAAACATTAAAGCAATAAAATTATACCAGATATCATGATCACCAGTAAACATGGGATATATTTCCTTTAATTAAGATGGTGAAAAGGGGGCTGGCCAGGGCTCCAGGAAACACCACTGTCCAGAATGGCTGAGCAGGGACCAGTAAAAAGGAAAAGGGTGGAAAATCAGGGGGCGGGAAAGGGAATAAAGAGATCTATTTGTTAAAACTAACAGAAGACATGACCGTAACATAGAAAAACAATGTCGTTTACGTAAAAAACTAGTAACAATAGGACTGGGGGCGGTGGCTCACACCTGTAATCTCAGAACTTTAGGAGTCCCAAGTAGGTGGATCACAAGGTCAAGAGATCGACACCAGCCTGGCCAACATGGTGAAACCCCCGTCTCTACTTAAAATATGAAAATTAGCCAGTCATGGTGGCATGCACCTGTAATCTCAGCTACTCGGGAGGCTGATGCAGGAGAATCACTTCAACCCAGGAGGCGGAGGTTGCAGTGAGCTGAGATCGTGCCACTGCACTCTAGCCTGGGTGACAGAGCGAGACTCCGTCAAAAAAAATAAAAAAGAAAAAAGAAATAGTAACAGTATAATGAAAACAATCTTCTTTTTAAAGTAGCTCTCATTAAACACACACACACACACACACACAGACACACACACACACACACCACATCCTATATTTCCAATAGAAAATATGCTATGGCACCTAATTAAAATACATTTCCAGACCTATGTAAATAAATTACAAAACCGCTGAATTGGTGATGTCAATACGACAGAGGAATAGGAAGTCCCAAACACTATCTCCATTATGAAGACACACATCTAGTAATAACACATTTACCAACTGCCTTTGTAAGAAATCTAGACACCACGTAAGTGGTTGGACTTTTTTTTTTTTTTTTTTTTTTTTTGAGACCAAGTCTCACTCTGTCACCCAGGCTGGAGTGCAGTGGCGAGATCTCGACTCACTGCAACCTCTACCTCCTGGGTTCAAGCGATTCTCCTGCCTCAGCCTCCTGAGTAGATGGGATTACAGGTGCATGCCGTCACACCCAGCTAATTTTTTGTATTTTTAGTAGAGACAGAGTTTCACCATGTTGGCTGTGCTGGTCTCGAACGCCTGACCTGAAGTGATCCACCTACCTCACCCTCCCAAAGTGCTGAGCGTGAGCCACTGAGCCCAGCCTGGAACTCTTAATAAATGCCCAGTAGGAAAATTGGAGACACTTACTGATAGAGGTCCTACCCTGGCATCACAGGGTATCACTGTGAGGAAACCACCGACTCTTGATTTCTCAAAGGGTAGGGAAAGTATGGAAAGGTCCATCTAATATCCTGACTTTTCAGGGCATTGCCTGAGGGACAAGTTTCTGTCTTGGTTGAACATAAACACTGAAAGTGACAGGATGCCAGGTCAGGGAAATCACTGAGAACAAAGGCAATCAACATAAACCAGAGTTTGCAGTAACGTACGCAGACACTAGGTGGAGAACCAGACCACAGCTTACCATGAAAACACAGGGACTGCAGAATTGCAGGCTGTGAACAGGAGCGTTCCTGAAGAAAGACTGGTAAATCTCAGGTAACTACAAGCAAAAGCCCAGAGACGACACATTCCCAGAAAAGGCTTCAGAGGTCTCCAGAATCTCTAGTCAGGCTGAATAGAGAATGTCTTCCCTGAAGGAAGCCAGAAATAAAAAAGTAGGAGTGGCTGATTAGTGAAATGCTGAGGTGCCAAGATAACAAGACATTCAAGAAGATAAGGAAACATGATCCACACAAAGGAACAAATGAAACCACCACAAACTGACACTAAAGAGATGAAGATGTGTGAATTATCAGACAAAGAATTGAAAATAAGAGTCACAAGATGGTCAATGAATTAAGAGAGCACACATAGACAACCACAGGAAATTAGGAAAACAAGTCATACGAGCAAAATGAGACTACCAATAAAGAGACAAAAGCTATAAAGGAGAAACAGAAATTTTAGAGCTGAAAAATGTAATCAGAAACACAGAACACAGAGCCTTGGTGCTCAATGCTGCACACAGATTACAATCCCCTGGGCCACCGTAGTTATTACTGAGGGTAGATCCCAACCTGACCATGGGAATAGGAATCTTGGGCAAAGAAAAGTTGAAATGGTTAATACGTTAATACGTTAAAGTACGTTAAAAGGTATCTTTGCCAGCGAATGGGACAGAAGTTGAAATGGTTTATGGTGAAATGGTTATTTCTGCCAGCAGGTAGGACAGAAGAGCTACTAGTGAGACTGAAGCAACTCTGGGTGGGGATCTGGCATCTCTGGGGGTGTCGGTCTGGGGTAGATTGAATCCTCGAAAGTTTCTGCAATTTGAATTAATTTAAGCTTAACTAAAAAGCCCTGAAAATGTCTGTGAAGGGTATGCAAACTAGAATGTGAAATGCAAAACTCTGCCTGGGCAGAATGTGTAAGTAATTTCAAGACACCTGGCAACAGAACTTAACACAGTCCCCTCCATATTCTACACCCATTCACCATGGAGGGAGAGAGTCAGACCTGTGCACAGTTGTAGAGATTTTCATATGGTAAATACCTGGGGTGTGGAGCGAGGAGGGCTAATACCGTGACATTAACTCTTGCTTTAGAAAAAGCAGTAACTTTTTAAAAATAGTAGAGCAATTTAAGTTTGCAACTTACGAAAATATCTTGTTTCCAATAGCGATGGCCCACATAATTCTAACGGTTTACCTTAAAATTGAAACATTAACTTAAAATAAGCAGAAAGCAAAACTGCTCCTCAGGACACGAAATAGACTTAAGTGTTCCCAAACCCAGAAAATAGGGACGCTCTGGGAACGCAGGCTCCCACTCGCCCTCCTTTGGTCCCTCCCGGCCCCGCCCCCCTACCGTCCCGGGCCCGGTTTTTCCCCCGGCCCCCCTCCCTGTGCTGGTCGCGCCCCTCCTAGGCCCCGCCCCTAGGACCCCTCAGTCCTCTCCGGCCCCGCCCCCTGCCCGACGCTCCCCGGCCAGGCCCCGCCCCTGCCCCGCCCGCAAGCCGCCCAGTCTCAGCTGCGCGCGGTTTTCTGCAAACCCGGAAGCGGATCGCGGGGAGTGAAGGCTGCGCCGCAGAGCGTGAGTTTCGCTCTCTCCAGATTAAATCTGCGCTTCGCAGTCCCCCTTCTTCCATCCGCCAGATCTGGAGAGGATCCTACAGATCTTCAAATGCCCGCACCGCGCCCTCCACCCCAGGTAAATTCTGACGTTGCTGCGAGAGTGCGGGGATCGCTTTCCCTTTGGGTTAAAGTCCCTCTAAGGCTACTTCCTGAATCTGGTCTTTCTGCCTTGCGCTAGGTAAACATGGCCTTTCGCGTCTTTTGCTGCCTAAAATCCTTTACCGATTTTTCTTCCCGCCACGCAGGAGGGCACTTTTTTTTTTTTTTTTTGAGACGGAGTCTCGCTGTGTCGCCCAGACTGGAGCGCAGTGGCGAGATCTCGGCTCACTGAAAGCTCCGCCTCCCGGGTTCACGCCATTCTGCCTCCCAAGTAGCTGGTACTGCGGGCGCCCGCCACCACGCCCAGCTGATTTTTTTTTTTTTTTTTTTTTTAGTAGAGAGGGGGTTTCACCGTGTTAGCCAGGATGGTCTTGATCTGCTGACCTCGTGATCCGCCCGCCTCGGCCTCCCAAAGTGCTGGGATTACAGGCGTGAGCCACTGGGCCCAGCCGGGGGCACTTTTTAGAGCCTTCACCTGCAAGGTGGGTTCAGGTCTATCCGGTTCTCCAAGACTCGCCCTTGTCGGCCCTTGGTGCGCAGCGCTGCAGCCTCAGTCCGGAGGGGCCGGTTCCTTACCTTGGTTCTGGGATTCTGCAGACCCCACCCCTGTCCTAAGATGCCATCTCTGTCTTTCTCACCTGAAATCTTTCTCAGGGAGGGCCTTCAGCTCCCACGCCCTTCCAGGCAGTCACCTCCCGTGGTGGGAAGGTGAGCTGGGCTTGTTCTGTGACACCCATGGTGGAGAAGGTGACCTCGGCCTGTCCTGTGACACCCAGTATCCTTTTTTTATTTTTTTTTTGAAAACGAGTGTCCCCCTCTGTTACCCAGGCTGGAGTGCAATGGTGCGACGTCGGCTCACTGCAACCTCCACCTCCCAAGTTCAAGCGATTCTCCTGTCTCAGCCTCCGAGTAGCTGGGATTACAGGCATGCGCCACCAGGCCCGGCTAATTTTTGTATTTTCAGTAGAGACGGGGGTTTCACCATGTTGGCCAGGCTGGTCTCGAACCCGTGACCTCAGGTGATCCACCTGCCTTGGCCTCCCAAAGGGCTGGGATTACAGGCATGAGCCACTGCGCCCAGCCAACATGGAACACTTCTGACAGCAAATGTGTGGGAGTTTTTTTCCCCACACACTAGGCAGTTCTTCAGTGGACACCAGCTGCGTGTCCTATAATTCAATTCAATTCTGACACTGTGCACCTGGAGTTAGAGTCAGATCCAACAGGTTAAGGTCTTAGTCCCACAAGACCACCCCCCCCCCCCGCCCTGCCCTGCCTCCACTTCAGACATCAATCAAAAGTAATAGATTGTCACCTGTCCTTAAAACTGACCTATATATTGGGGCTCCCATGACTCCCTCTTTGGGTTTGATTAATTTGTGAGGACAGCTCACAGAACTGCTGGAAGCACTTACTTATGTTTACTGATTTTTTTTGTAGTCAGTCCTCGCTTAATGTTTTCTATAGGTTCTTGGAAACTGGGTCATGAATGAAATGATTTATAGCAGGTCCTCAAATAACGTTGTTTTGTTCAATGTCATTATTATTATTATTATATATTTTTTTGAGACAGAGTCTCGCTCTGTCGCCCAGGCTGGAGTGCAGTGGCATGATCTCGGCTCACTGCAAGCTCCGCCTCCCGGGTTTATGCCATTCTCCTGCCTCAGGCTCCCGAGTAGCTGCGACTACAGGCGCCCACCACCTCGCCCAGCTAGTTTTTTGTATTTTTTTTTAGTAGAGACGGGGTTTCACTGTGTTAGCCAGGATGGTCTCGATCTCCTGACCTCGTGATCCGCCCGTCTCGGCCTCCCAAAGTGCTGGGATTACAGGCTTGAGCCATTGCGCCCGGCCTATTATTATTATTTTGAGATGGAGTCTAGCTCTGTCGCCAGGCTGGAGTGCAGTGTTGTGGTCTCCACTCATTGCAACCTCCACCTCTTGGGTTCAAGTGATTCTCCTGCCTCAGCCTCCCGAGTAGCTGTCATTACAGACACGTGCTGCCATGCCCAGCTAATTTTTGTATTTTTAGTAGAGACGGGGTTTCACCATATTGGCCAGGTTGGTCTCGATCTCCTGACCTCTTGATCCGCCCTCCTTGGCCTCCCAAAGTGCTGGGATTACAGCACGAGCCACTGCACCTGGCCATTCAATGCCATTTTCTATGTTGATGAGGAAAAAAGTTGCCATTTCACTTAAAGTTCCTGTTTCCAAGAATCTGTTGATAAGATCAAGTGAGGATTTTGTGTATGAATAAAGGATATCATAAATGATAGCCATGAGCAGCCAGATGAAGAGATACATATGGTGGGGGCTGAGAATGTTCTGAGCACAGGAGCTTCTGTCCTTGTGGATTTGGGTGTACCACCCTCCTGGCATTCAGATGTGTTTGTCAACCAGAAAGCTCTCCAGACTCGATAGATCAGGAATTTTTATTGAGGCTTCATCCTGTAGGCATGAGAGATTATTAACTCAATCTTCAGCCTGTTCCACTCTTTGGGAAATGAGTGATGGAGCTGAAATTTCCAAGCTTCTAATCATGGCTTAGTCTTTCTGGCAACTGGCTCTATCCAGGAGCCCACCAAGACTTGCCTCATTAGACCAAAGACACTCCTATCATGCAGGAAATTCCAAGGATTTAGGAGCTTTGTGCAAGGATGCGGGGTCAAAGACCACGTATGAGAACAAAAGATTCTCCTAACACCCGTTTCTGTGAGGGGTTTAGGATCTATGTCCCAGGAACCAGGGGCAGAGACCAAAAATATATTTCTTGTTATTTCACACTCCCTCTGAGTAGAGCTCAATCCTGGTTTGACTTGAGAGTACTGAGTTGTTTTGCAAATAAAACTCTTACACCTCTTTACCTGAGATTTCCATTAATGTAATGGGGTTGGAGTCCAGCCTTGATAGTAGTTACGTTACCCCAGCTGATTCTAATCTGTGTCCAGCATTGATACTAAGGCTTTGTGTCCTCCATTTCTTTTTAAAAAACGTTTTAGATAGAGTCTCACTTGCTGTCACCCAGACTGGAGTGCAATGGGGCAATCTCAGTTCACTGCAAACTCCGCCTCCTGGGTTCAAGTGATTCTCCTGCCTCAGCCTCCCGAGTAGCTGGGACTACAGGTGTGCGCCACCACACCCGGCTAATTTTTGTATTTTTAGTAGAGACAGGGTTTCACCATGTTGGCCAGGCTGGTATCGAACTCCTGACCTCAGGTGATCCACCCGTCTCGGCCTCCCAAAGTGCTGGGATTACAGACTGTGTCCTCCATTTCTGAGGGCTAAGCTCAGCCTGGGATCTACAGAGATGTGAGGGTGGCTGTGCTCTGCATGAGGTTTGCCCAAGGCCAGGTGTGCGCCCTGAAGGGGAGCTCAGTCCAGCCCAGCTCCCCACCGCTGCAGCGTGCATGTCGGCTGCTCTAGGAGGAGAGGGGGTTCTGAAGAAAGGGGTTACAGACTCACCTGTTGGTCTTCCTACAAGTTTCTTTTTCCTCCATCACTCCTGGTGCAGTCGGTGGCAGAGGACTGTCTTTGCACGGGGTGAGGTCTTCCCTGTGTGTATGGTCATGGCCCAGGGAGCGGGTGTGTTAATTCTAGGCATTAAATAACTTCTTTTTCACATTCCAGATTAACCTTTAAAGACTCATGTGGCCTGAGGAAGAAGTCCAGAAGAGAAGAAAGAGGCAGGAAAGAGGAGACAGGGATGGCTCTTCCTCAGGTAAAGTGATATTCTCGGTGGATTGTTCTGTTTCCTTTTTTTTTTTTTTTTTTTGAGAGGGTCTCACACTGTCACCCAGGCTGGAGTGCAGTGTTGTGATCTTGGCTTACTGCAACCTCTACCTCCCGGGTTCAAGTGATTCTCCTACCTCAGCCTCCCAAGTAGCTGTAATTACAGGCGCCCGCCACCACGCCCAGCTAATTTTTTGCATTTTTAGTAGAGATGGGGGTTTCACCATGTTGGCCAAGCTGGTCTCCAATTCCTGACCTTATGATTCACCCGCCTTGGCCTCCCAAAGTGCTGGGATTACAGACGTGAGCCACCATGCCCAGCTTATTTTGTTTCTCTTTCCTTTCCGAAATTTCATTCTTTGGAGTTGCAAATCTTCTCTGAGTCTGAAGCGTCCTGCCTGACACGTTTGCTCGCACTCACCTGTGCCTTCCCTCAGTCCCTCTCATTTCACTTACATTCCATTGCCTGTGACCCAGTGATATGAACTTGGGAAGAGGCCCTACTGGGCATGGTCCTGGGAAGGGCTCACACCCAGACATGGATGGACATGGTGTGTGGGCCCCGTGGTGTCAGGACTGTTAGGCGGCCACATTGTTTAGCGGCCACGGATTGTTTAGTGGCCACATCTGGATGCACTGTGAGGTCTCTGTGGATCAGGAGTAGAGAAGCTGCACATGGAAGTCACGTACTAATGTGCACAAGTACCTGGTAAACTCCAGAAAAGGAGGCTGATAAGGGGAATTCTGGCATGTTGTTTGTCTGATTTAATAATGCATTTGAAGATAAATACATGAATCTATGTTTTTGGCTCCAGAACTGTTATGATTTGGAATGGAATGGAAAGTTCAGAAACACCTTATTGAGGGGAGGGTGTTTTATTCTACTACTGATTGTTTTCTTTTGTTTTGTTTTGAGATGGAGTTTCACTCTTGTTGCCCGGGCTGGAGTGCAATGGTGCAATCTTGGCTCACTGTAACCTCCACCTCCCAGGTTCAAGCAATTCTCCTGCCTCAGCCTCCCGAGTAGCTGGGATTACAGGCGGGTGTCACCACGCCTGGCTAATTTTGTGTTTTTAGTAGAGATGGGGTTTCTCCATGTTGGTCAGGCTGGTCTCAAACTCCCAAACTCAGGTGATCCATCTGCCTTGGCCTCCCAAAGTGCTGGGATTACCGGCGTGAGCCACCATGCCTGGCTCCACCAATTTTAAAATATGAAATCAATCTAAATCTCTTTCTTTTTTTTTTGAGACGAAGTCTTGCTCTTATCCCCTAGGCTGGAGTGCGATGGTGCGATCTCAGCTCACTACAACCTCTGCCTCCAGGGTTCAAGCGATTCTCCTGCCTCGGCCCCCCAAGTAGCTGGGATTACAGGTGCCTGCCACCACGCTGGGCTAATTTTTGTATTTTTAGTAGAGATAGGGTTTTACCATGTTGGCCATGCTGGTCTTGAACTCCTGACCTCAGGTGATCCACCTGCCTTGGCCTCCCAAAGCGTTGGGATTACATGCATGAGCCACCTCTCCCGGCCAGAAAACAATCTAAATCTCTAATAGCAGGAGATTATTTAAGTCATTTTCAGCACGTCCTTCTTTCAGAGGTTGCTTTTCAGTCTCTTGATTCTTTTGGTGCAGAGATGTTTGTAAGTTTGATGTAGTCCCATTTGGATATTTTTGCTTTTCTTGCCTGTGTCTTTGGTGTCCTATCTTAGAAATCACTGCCAAATTCAGTTTCACAAACCTTTTCTCCTACACTTTCTTCTAGGAGTTTTATCATTTTAGGTCTTATGTTCAGGCTTTTAATTCATTTTTTGTTTTTTGTTTTTTTTTTTTTGTTGTTGTTTTGTTTTGTTTTTTGTTTTTTTGTTACCCAGGCTGGAGTACAGTGGCGCGATCTCGGCTCACTGCAACCTCTGCCTCCAGGGTTCAAGCGATTTTCCTGCCTCAGCCTCCCGAGTAGCTGGGACTACAGGTGCCTGCCATTTCACCATGTTGCCCAGGCTGGTCTCGAACTCTTGACCTCAGGTGATCCACCCGCCTCAGTCTCCCAAAGTGCTGGGATTACAGGCGTGAGCCACTGCGCCCAGCCTAAATATTTAAATTTAAATGGATAGAATTTTATTTGTAGTTTGACTATAACTATTCCATAGGGATTGAAGTTAAAGCTTTAAATATTTTTTCATGTTTTTACCATTCTTTTATCGGCCGCATATAACATAATGTTGACAAACTAAGTTAAATACAACTTACACACTTTCCTGTCCCCAAGATGCTGAAATGCACATGAGGAAAAATGATAATGAAAAAAGTCATAAAAAATACGTCATTGAGAGGCATGTTTTCTCTTTGTTAATTTACATTTTTGTATGTGTGTGTGCATGAATGTATGGATGCACAATCCTATGGCTTTTATAGAAGACACGTCACCATTTCATGAATCAGTTTTGTATTTTTATTTTTTATTTTATTTTATTTATTTATTTTTTTTGAGATGGAGTCTTACTCTGTTGCCCAGGCTGGAGTGCAGTGGCGTGATCTCGGCTCACTGCAACCTCCACCTCCCAGGTTCAAGTGATTCTCCTGCCTCAGCCTCCTGAGTAGCTGGGATTACAGGCGTGCACCACCATGCCCAGCTAATTTTTGTATTTTTAGTAGAGACAGGGTTTCACCATGTTGGCCAGTATGATCTTGATCTCTTGACCTCGTGATCGCCCGCCTTCCCAAAGTGCTGGGTTTACAGACGTGAGCCACCACACCCGGCCACACTTTTTAGATTCTGACCTTTCTTTCTTTAAAGCCACCGTGGACATTGTCATCTCTGAAGACAACACACCTCTTCTGGCTCATCTAGATACTGAATATCACTGTGTGTCAAACATAATATCTAGCACTACTATAGAGATAGCCATGTGTTGATTTTTTATTTCTATGTTTCTTCCATTGTCTACAGAAAGAGAAATCTACACTTATTTAGAAGATATCATAAGCTCTTACAGAAGAGTGTTTAATAAAATGCAATTAGGGAGACATACCTAATGTTCTTCCTAACATCCCTAAATGCCCCAAAATACGTTAGCATGGGTCTGCCAGAACTCTCCCTTCAGTAAATCGGTACAATTCTCTCCTCTTCTCTTTTTATGTAAAGATGATAACTCTCCCATATGTGCTTGGTAAAAAGTGTTTTTCAGACACAGTTTGCCTGAAAATACCTTTCCATGGATTTCCCCAGAATGTTCATTTAAACTAAATTGACTTATACCTCTCTTTTTGTCGTTTTGTGTGAAGATAATAGCTCTACCCATGACTTCTTGGTGAAATGTGTTTTTTCATATCAGGGAAGGTTGACATTCAGGGATGTGGCCATCGAATTCTCTCAGGAGGAGTGGAAATGCCTGGACCCTGCTCAGAGGGCTTTGTACAGGGACGTGATGTTGGAGAACTACAGGAACCTGGTCTCCCTGGGTGAGGATAATGCCCCTCCAGAAGCTGGGATCTGCTCTGCTGTATCTCTGCGTGTTACCTTGTGTGCCTCTTGGGAGCCCCTGCATTGCTCAATTAAGATTGAAGTTATGTTAATTCTCAGATGAAAAGCTTAATAGTGCAGCATCTGGACTTAACCCATTTTCATTAATTATCCCGTTTTCAAATGATCTACCCACTTCAAGATATGTCATTGGTGGTTCCAGATCTTAAGCAGAAATAAATCCTATGGTAGACTTTAAAAATATCTACTTTGGGCTGGGCGCGGTGGCTCACACCTGTAATCCCAGCACTTTGGGAGGCCAAGGCGGGTGGATCACTTGAGGTCAGGAGTTTGAGACTAGCCTGGCCAACATGGTGAAACACCATCTCTACTAAAAATACAAAAAATAGACAGGCATGGTGCCAAGCGCCTGTAATCCCAGCTACTTGGGAGGCTGAGGCAGGAGAATCACTTGAACCCGGGAGGCGGAGGTTGCAGTGAACAGAGATTGCGCCACTGTACTCCAGCCTGGGCAACAAGAGTGAAACTCCATCTCAAAAAAAAAAAAAAGAAAAAGAAAAAGTAAAAAAAACCCACTTTGCTGTTTTCTATCCCTTTGCTTGTGATTTAGTACTTCTTAGAGGACAGCTTGATGTCCGTATCTTACCATGTTCCCTAAACATTCAGAAGGAGGCATTCAGTGGGTGAATTTGTGAAACATTTTTCTAGATCCATTTGTAATGTCCTCTCTCCTCCTCTAAACAAAGGGCTGAGATTCTGTAAAAGCCACAGCACATCACATTCCTTTCTTTTTCTAAGCAGGAATCTCTCTTTCTGAAATGAGTATTATCTCCATGTTGGGGCAAGGGAAAGAGCCCTGGACTGTGGAGAGTGAAGTGAGAATAACAAAAACATCAAATGGTTGGGAACGCATCAAAGGTGTGAACACAGGTAAGAGCTCAAATGGACAGAGAGGAAGCTGCACCGTTAGTAGTCGGGTAACTCTTTCTGAGTTGAAGAGTTCTATGGGACAAAAAGGGTTTAAATCCTGTGAGCTCTCAATGGAAACTTTTATTTGCCCCCATTTATCCCTGGGCTCTTCTGACATGTAACAGTTTATCCTTTCACTCTTCCATGGTGCTGCAGCTCAAACAGTGACAAAGGCAAAGTCTTTATCATGATGGACAGCACCTTGTCATGTGGCTTCTGTGACCTCTTTGGTTTCTTCACTCTGAGGGGCACAGGGAGGGTTGTGTCAAAGGGGTCTCCTGTGATCTCTCCTGCACCTGACTCCATCTGATGCTCAGTTCTCTGTCTATACAGATCAGAGCTGAGGCCTCCATAGACCTGCCTCCTTGACGTATTCAGGTTTTGCCCCATTTCCTGTACTTGGGAGGCCTAATCAGTTGATGGGAAAACATTGGCAACTCCTCCTTTGCATCTGGGGCTCTGGAAACCTCAAGATGCTGTCTCCAGCCCTCTCTGCCTGTTGAAGTCTTTCAGCCTCAGTCATTTATTTTGTTCTGCTTTTGCCACAGATTGCAATGTGTGCAACAGGGGAGTACACTGGGTTTTCTGGGATTGTTTACTTAGTACTGGAATGGCATTAGACAGAGAGGTCCTTTTTTTTTTTGCCCAGGCTGTGTGTGATGCAGTGGCAAGATCTCAACTCACTGGAACCTCTGCCTCCCAGGTTCAAGTGATTCTTCTGCCTCAGCCTCCAGAATAGCTGGAACTACAGGTGCACACCACCACACCTGGCTAATTTTTGTATTTTTTTTTATACTTTTAAGTTTTGGGGTGCATGTGCAGAACGTGCAGGTTTGTTACATAGGTATACATGTGCCATGGTGGTTTGCTGCACCCATCAACCCGTCATCTATATTAGATATTTCTTCTAATGCTATCTCTCCCCTAGCTCCCCAGCCCCCAACAGGTCCTGGTATGTGATGTTCCCTTCCTTGTGTCCATGTGTTCTCATTGTTCAACTCCCACTTATGAGTGAGAATATGTACTGTTTGATTTTCTATTGTGTTAGTTTGCTGAGAATGATGGTTTCCAGCTTCATCCATGTCCCTGCAAAGGACAGGATTCATCCTTTTTTATGGCTGCATAGAATTCCATGGTGTATATGTGCCACATTTTCTTTATTCAGTCTATCATTGATGGGCATTTGGGTTGGTGCCAAGTCTTTGCTATTGTGAACAGGGCCACAATAAACATATGTGTGCATATGTCTTTATAGTAGAATGATTTATAATCGTTTCGGTATATACCCAGTAATGGGATTGCTGGGTCAAATGGTATTTCTAGTTTTAGATCCTTGAGGAATCGCCACACTGTCTTCCACAGTGGTTAAACTAATTTACACTCCCACCAACAATGTAAAAGCATTTCTATTCCTCCACATCCTTTCCAGCATCTATTATTTCCTGACTTTTTAATGGTCACCATTCTAACTGGTGTGAGATGGTATCTCACTGTGGTTTTGATTTTCATTTCTCTAATGACCAGTGATGATGAGCTTTTTTTCATATGTTTGTTGACCACATAAATGTCTTCTCTTGAGAAGTGTCTGTTCATATCCTTCACCCACTTTTTGATGGGGTTGTTATTTTCTTGTAAATTTGTTTAAGTTCTTTGTAGATTCTAGATATTAGCCCTTTGTCAGATGGATAGATTGCAAAAATTTTCTCCCATTCTGTAGGTTGCCTGTTCACTCTGATGATAGTTTCTTTTGCTGTGCAGAAGTTCTTCAGTTTAATTAGATCCCATTTGTCAATTTTGGCTTTTGTTGCCATTGCTTTTGGTGTTTTAGTTATGAAGTCTTTGCCCATGCCTATGTTGTGAATTGTATTGCCTAGTTTTCTTCTAGGGTTTTTATGGTTTTAGGTCCTATGTTTAAGACTTTAATCCATCTTGAGTTAATTTTTGTATAAGGTGTAATGAAGGGATCCAGTTTCAGCTTTCTGCATATGGCTATCCAGTTTTCCCAACATCATTTATTAAATAGGGAATCCTTTCTCCATTGCTTGTTTTTGTCAGGTTTGTCAAAGATCAGATGGACGTAGATGTGTGGCATTATTTCTGAGGCCTCTGTTCTGTTCCATTGGTCTATATCTTTGTTTTGGTACCAGTACCATGCTGTTTTGGTTACTGTAGCCTTGTAGTATACTTTGAAGTCCCAGTACCATGCTGTTTTGGTTACTGTAGCCTTGTAGTATACTTTGAAGTCAGGTAGCATAATGCCTCCAGCATTGTTCTTTTTGCTTAGGATTGTCTTGGCTATACAGGGTCTTTTTTGGTTCCATATGAAATTTAAAATAGTTTTTTCCAATTCTATGAAGAAAGTCAGTGGTAGCTTGACGGGGATAGCATTGAATCTATAAATTACTTTGGGCAGTATGGCCATTTTCACAATATTGATTCTTCCTATCCATGAGCATGGAATGTTTGTCCATTTGTTTGTGTCCTCTCTTATTTCCTTGAGCAGTGGTTTGTAGTTCTCCTTGAAGAGGTCCTTCATGTCCCTTGTATTGTGTTCCTAGGTATTTTATTCTCTTTGTAGCAGTTGTGAATACAAGTTCACTCATGATTTGGCTGTCTGTCTGTTATCGGTGTATAGGAATGCTTGTGATTTTTGCATATTGATTTTGTATCCTGAGACTTAGCTGAAGTTGCTTATCAGCTTAAGGAGATATTGGGCTGAGACAATGGGGTTTTCTAAATATACAATCATGTCATCTGCAAACAGAGACAATTTGACTTCCTCTTTTCCTAATTGAATACCCTTTATTTCTCTCTCTAGCCCGATTGCCCTGGCCAGAACTGCCAGTACTGTGTTGAATAGGAGTGGTGAGAGAGGATATCCTTGTCTTGTGCCTGTTTTCAAAGGGAATGCTTCCAGTTTTTGCCCATTTGGTATGATATTGGCTATGGGTTTGTCAAAAATAACTCTCATTATTTTGAGATACATTCCATCAATACCTAGTTTATTGAGAGTTGTTAGCATGAAGGCTGTTGAATTTTGTCGAAGGCCTTTTCTGCATTCTATGGAGATAATCATGTGGTTTTTGTCATTGGTTCTGTTTATGTGATGGGTTACATTTATTGATTTGCATTTGTTGAACCAGCCTTGCATCCCAGGGATGAAGCTGACATGATCATGGTGGATAAGCTTTTTGATGTGCTGCTGCATTCAGTTTGCCTCTATTTTATTGAGGATTTTCACATCGATGTTCATCAAGGATATTGGCCTGAAATTTTCCTTTTTTGTTGTGTCTCTGCCAGATTTTGGTATCAGGATGATGCTGGCCTCATAAAATGAGTTAGGGAGGATTCCCTCTTTTTCTGTTTGGAATAGTTTCAGAAGGAATGGTACCAGCTCCTCTTTGTACCACTGGTAGAATTCGGCTGTGAATCCGTCTGGTCCTGGACTTTTTTTGGTTGGTAGGCTATTAATTACCGCCTCAATTTCAGAACTTGTTATTGGTCTCTTCAGGGATTCGACTTCTTCCTGGTTTAGTCTTGGGAGGGTGTATGTGTCCAGGAATTTATCCATTTCTTCTAGATTTTCTAGTTTATTTGCATAGAGGTGTTTATAGTATTCTCTGATGGTAGTTTGTATTTCTGTGGGATCGGTGATGATATCCCCTTTATCATTTTTTATTGCATCTATTTGATTCTTCTCTCTTTTCTTCTGTATTAGTCTGGCTAGTGGTCTACCTATTTTGTTAATCTTTCAGAAAACGAGCTCCTGGATTCATCTGGTTTTTGAAGGATTTTTTTGTGTTTCTATCTCCTTCAATTCTGCTCTGATCTTAGTTATTTCTTGTCTTCTGCTAGCTTTTGAATTTCTCTGCTCTTGCTTCTCTAATTCTTTTAATTATGATGTTAGGGTGTTGATTTTAGATCTTTCACGCTTTCTCTTGTGGGCATTTAGTGCTATAAATTTCCCTCTACATACTGCTTTAAATGTGTCCCAGAGATTCTGGTACGTTGTGTCTTTGTTCTCACTGGTTTCAAAGAACATCTTTATTTCTGCCTTCATTTTGTTATTTACCCAGTAGTCATTCAGGAGCAGGTTGTTCAGTTTCCATGTAGTTGTGCGGTTTTGAGTGAGTTTCTTAATCCTGAGTTCTAATTTGATTGCACTGTGGTCTGAGAGACTGTTATGATTTCCATTCTTTTGCATTTGCTGAGAAGTGTTTTACTTCCAATTATGTGGTCAATTTTAGAGTAAGTGCCATGTGGTGCTGAGAAGAGTGTATATTCTGTTGATTTGGGGTGGAGAGTTTTGTAGATGTCTATTAGGCCTGCTTGGTCCAGAGCTGAGTTCAAGTCCTGGATATCCTTGTTAATTTTCTGTCTCATTGATCTGTCTAATATTGACAGTGGGGTGTTAAAATCTCCCACTATTATTGTGTGGGAGTCTAAGTCTCTTTGTAGGTCTTCTCTTTGTGAAGCATCTCGAGGGAGCTTATGAAACTGAATGATGCCTACCTTCTTTATGTCTACCGTACCTTGTCTTGTTTAAGCCAGTGCTACATTTACTATAGTACATTTCTATATATTGTAAATGAACTTGTTTTTATTTAATCAGCAGTCCATATTTTGATGAGTTTAGTGATTGTTTTATGTCTACAATATAATAGGGCTTTGTATTGGGGAATGCATTTTTAAATATATTTTACAAGCTTTCCTTCTTTAGTTTGAGGGAATGGCTTAGTAGCAGTTTCCTTAAAATCTGCATAAACTCCAGAATATATTGAAAATATTGTCTAAATTGTTGTTTATTTTTGTTTCACCTGACTTAATATCTATTATTAAAGTGTCAGGCTAATTTGTTATAGCTTCTAAATTGGGGGATTTTCTGTCTTAAGAATACACTTCTTTTTCTTTTTCTTCCTTAAATTTTTTTTTATTGTTGAGAATATACTTTTTACAATTAATTCAATGCCTTATTTTCAGAAATACCATTACATTGACTTGACATAATTTGTTATAGAAGATAACATTGCTTTTTCTATAGTATATTTTCAATTGTCTAATCATAACTTGTTGGGTTTGGGTTAAATGTCACTGAATTTTTATGTCCTCCATACATTATTTTGTAAAAATTATGCTGCTTATCTAGACTTGTCACATCCATCTTAGTATACTAAATTAATATTTAAATATCTCACAGTATTTTACAGGAAACCTGTCTCATTTCTTATACTTCAAGGACTTCTCCACTGTTATGTATATCACCTGTATTTTCTACAAATTTCTGAAGTTCTGCAAGTCGCATTCTTCAGTTAATACATGACTGTTTTGTTCTCCACCTTTCTTTCCATCTGAATTTTCTGTAACGTTCACTTGGTTCCTGTCAATCCACTTCTTGGTGCTGTCTTGTTATTCTCTGCTCCTTATGTGCTGCTATGTTGCTGAAAACCTGGCTCCATGGGTCTCCGTGCACTGCCAGGAAATGTTTCTGCACTTTGCATTCACTAACAGCTCTCTTCAGTATAAGCCATTACCCACTGTGGGTCATTTACTTATTTTCTTTATAAGGTTACTACTATAGTTTGGAGGGGATGTTTGTCCCCTCCAAATCTCATGTTGAAATTTGATCCCCAGTGTTGGATATGGGGGCTAATGGTAGGTGTTTGGATCATGAGAGTGGACCGTTCACGAAAGGCTTGGTGCTGTACTTGAGGTAATGAATGAGTTCTTATCCTGTTACTTCCCGTGAGAGCTGGCTGTTGAAAAGAGCCTGGCGCCTCCTCCCCTTTCTTCCTCTCTTGCCATGTGATCTCTGCACATGCCGTCTTCCCTTTGCCTTCTGCCATGAGTGGAAGCAGCCTGAGGCCCTCACCAGAAGGAGCTGCTGGTGCCATGCTTCTTGTACAGCCTGCCCCCCGCCTTTTTAGAGTTAACATAAGTTTGCACAACACAAATGTTTGGGTCATAGGCCATTTGAAACTGCATTTCCCTAAAATTAATTTGCATTACATGTAATCACTTTTTCTTTATTAAAAATCCTGTTCCTAAAAATTTGAAGATCATGGTTGAAAATTTTATAACTGTTCAGTATAAATACTATTTTTGGTATAATATCTTTTTCTTTCTCTCTTCCCTCTTTCTCTCTTTTTTTTTTTTGAGATGGAGTCTTGCTCTGTCACCAGCCTGGAGTGCAGTGGCACAATCCTGGCTCACTGCAACCTCTACCTCCTGGGTTCAAGTGATTCCCCTGCCTCAGCCTCCCTAGTAGCTGGGACTACAGGCACGTGCCACCACACCTGGCTAATTTTTTGTATTTTAGTAAAGATGGGGTTTCACCATGTTGGCCAGGATGGCCTCGATCTCCTGACCTCGTGATCCACCCGCCTTGGCCTCCTAAAGTGCTGGGATTACAGGTGTGAGCCACTGCGCCCGGCCAATATCTTTTTCAATATGAACTACTGATTTGCCAACTGTAGTTAATAGAAAACCTGTTTTTTAAATATCTTGTAGACGTCTCTCCTACACATATGATCAAGAAATCACCACCAAAACAGAACAATAGCACAGAAAAAGTATTCCAAGCAGTGATGTTGGAAAGACATGAAATCCATGACATCAAGGATTTTTACTTCAGGGAAATGCAGCAAAATATTCATGACTTTGAGTGTCAGTGTCACAATGATGAAAGAAATTACAGAGAAATACCTGCAATTAAAAACATCACTGGAAGAAGAGATCAAGGTGATGGAAGGAATGCAGGAAATAAACCAGTTGAAAATCAGCTTGAACTAAGCTTTTGGTCGCATCTGGCTGAACTACAGGGATATCAGACTGAAAGGAAAATTTATGAATGTAATCAAATTGAGAAGTCTGTCACCAGTGGCTCCTCAGTTTCATTACTTCAAACAAATCTTCCTCGTGTCAACACCAGCATTTCTAATATGTATAGAAATGATTTTATGCATCCTTCATCACTCACACAAGACCAGAAAGCATACATTAGGGAAAAACCTTACAAATGTAGTGATTGTGGCAAGGCCTTTCATCAGAGGTCCAACCTTACTATACATCAGCGAATCCATACTGGACAGAAACCACATAAATGTGATATATGTGGCAAAGGTTTCAGGCGAATTGCAAACCTAGCAAGTCATCACAGAATTCATACTGGAGAGAAACCTTACAGATGTAATGAGTGTGGCAAGACCTTCAATCAGACGTTCAATCTTACTACACATCAGAGAATCCATACTGGACAGAAACCATATAAATGTGATATATAGAAAACCATAAATGTGATATATGTGGCAAAGGTTTCAGGCAAATTGGAAACCTAGCAAGTCATCACATAATTCATACAGTGAGAGAAACTACAGATGTAATAGAGTGGCAAGATTCCTTTAATAGGATGTTCACCTTACTAGACATCAGAGAATCCATACTGGACAGAAACCATATAAATGTGATATATGTGGCAAAGGTTTCAGGCAAATTGCAAACCTGGCAAGTCATCACAGAATCATACAGGAGAGAAACTCTTACAGATGTAATGAGTGGCAAGACCTTAATTACAGGTCCTAATTTCCATTTTAGACATCAGGAGAATCCCATACCGACAGAAACCAGCATAAATGTGATATATGTGGCAAAAGGTTTCAGTCAAAATTCATACCTTGAAAATCATCAGAGAATTCACACTAGAGAGAAACCTTACAGATGTAATGAGTGTAGCAAGACTTTTAACATATCCCAACTTACTAGACATCAGAGAATCCATACTGGACAGAAAACATTTAAATGTGATATATGTGGCAAAGGTTTCAGGCAAATTGGAAACCTAGCAAGTCATCACAGAATTCATACTGAGAGAAACCTTTACAGATGTAATGAGGTGACCTTTGCATTAGAATGTTCCACCTTACTAGACATCAGAGAATCCATACTGGACAGAAACCATATAAATGTGATATATGTGGCAAAGGGTTCAGTCAAAATTCATACCTTGAAAATCATCAGAGAATTCACACTGGAGAGAAACCTTACAAGTGTAATTAGTGTGGCAAAGCCTTTAGCATGCACTCAAACTTAACTGGAGAGAGACCTTAAAAATGTAATGAGTGGGGCAAGGCTTTTTTTCAGAGTTCAAAATTGTGAAACATCACAGGATTCATTCTGGGGAGAAACCAAACGAATGTAATTAATGTGGAAAGGCATTTATTCAAAATTCAAGTCTGGTGGACCATCAGAGAACTCACACTGGAGAGAAACCTTACAAGTGTAATGAGTGTGGTAAAATCTTTATTGGGCATTCAATCCTAACTAACCATCAGGTAATTCATACTGGAGAGAAACCTTGCAAATGTAATGAGTGTGGGAAGGCTTATATGAAGCGGCCCCAACTTAGACATCATGAGAGTATTCATACTAGAGAGAAGTCATACAGATGTACCAAACGCAGCAAGGCGTTTAAACAATGGGCGGACATCAGGATTCACCAACAAATCCATGCTGGAGAGAAACCTTACAAGTGTGAGGAGTGTGGAAAAACCTTTACCCAGGCCTCTCACCTCACTATACATCAGATCATCCATACTGGAGAGAAACCATATGAATATGATGTATGTGGCAAAGTCTTCAGTCAAAATTCACATCTCGAAAGTCATCGTAGGATTTGTACTGGAGAGAAGCCTTACAAATGTGTGTGGCAAGGCCTTCAGTCAAAATTCACACCTTGTGTGTAAATCATGGGAGAATTCAGACTGGAGAGAAATCCTACAGATGTCATGAGTGTGGCAAAGCCTTTACTGGAGGCTCACACTTCGTTAATCATCAGATAGTTCATACTGGAGAGAACCTTCCAAATGTACTGAATGTAGCAAGGCTTTTAAGCATGGCCCTAAACTCAGGACTCACCAAAGAGATCATACTTGCAAATTCAATGAATGTAGCAGTGTTTTAAAAGTATGCTCACTACTCATTAGATATTAGTATCTAATATATCTTGGGGCAAAGGCACACAAATGTAATGTGTGTGACAAGGATTTTATCTGAGGATCAGAAGTTGGGGAACAGAATAATTTGTACTGGGGAGAAACCTTAGAAATCCAATGAGCATGGGAAAAACTTTACTATCAGTTCAGGCACTACACGACATCAGAGAGTTCATATTGAAGAGAAACCATGTAAGTACAAGGTACGTGGCAGAGGCTGTATTCAGGCTTCACAGTGCACTGGACATCAGAGTATACATCTTTTGCTGGGCATGGTGGCTCACGCCTGTAATCCCAGCACTTTTGGGAGGCTGAGGCTGGCGGATCACCCAAGGTCAGGAGTTTGAAACCACCCTGGCCAACATGGTGAAACCCTGTTTCTGTTAATACAAAAATTAGCTGGGCGTGGTGGTAGGTGCCTGTAATCCCAGCTACTCAGGAGGCTGAGGCAGGAGAATTGCTTGAACCTGGGAGGTGGAAGTTGCAGTGAGCTGAGATCGTGCCACTGCATGCCAGCCTGGGCGACAGAGTAAGACTCTGTCTCAAAAAACAAAACAAAAAACACTATACATCTTTTAGAGAAATCACACAAAGTAACATGCAAGCTAAGGCTTTTTTTTTTTTTTTGAGACGGAGTCTTGCACTATTACCCAGACTGGAGTGCACTGGTCCAGTCTTGGCTCACCACAACCTCCGCCTCCTGGATTCCAGCAATTCTGCCTCAGGCTCCCACGTAGCTGGGACTATAGGTGCACGCCACCACCCCTGGTTAATTTTTGTGTTTTTTAGTAGATACGGGGTTTCACCATATCGGCCAGGCTGGTCTCAAACTCCTGACCTCGTGATCTGCCCACGGTGGCCTCCCAAAGTGCTGGGATTACAGGCGTGAGCCCTTGTACCCGGCTCATGCTAAATGTTTTACCCAGTGGTCAAAATTGGCACATCACAGGATTTACACTGGAGAGCAACCTCACAAATGTAATGAAAGTGGTAAGGCTTTTTATCAAATGTCCTTGTCTTTGGGGTCATGAGAAAATTCATACAGAATCTATTAAAAATGTACTAAACATGGAAAGACTGTCAAGCAACAGTGATGTAATGAAGGTGGTAGTTTTTTAAACCAACACCCACAACAGTCTACACATCATAGAATTCATACCAGGAATCTAATTTTCCAAAATTAACTAGAAATATTACAAACTGCAGAATAGTTCCAGGCCAAAATATGTTAAATTCATAACATGATGTATACATCAAAGGAAAAAAGGACTTGTGGAAATGACACATTAGTGTATAAAATAGTCATTTATGTGAAGTTTCTTGGAAAGGCTACACTACTATTATTGGTTTCCATCTGAAGTTTGAGATCTGTCGATTTTATGCTTTTCTTACAGGCCTTTCATTATGGTCTTTCGGAAGGAATCAATAAAATGATAGGGCCTACTTCATTAGGTGTGGTTCATTCCTATTCATGGTCCCTGGGAGAACAAGAATGCTGAATTTTAAAATTTAATATTGTATGAATTAGTGTCAGGGAGAGGTAGAGAATGATATAAAACTATAAGTCATACTTACTGTGTTCAGTGTGCCCTTCTCCAGAGGGCCACTGGCTTATAGGAAAGGATTGCTGCTCTACCAATTGACCATGAGATGGCATGCCAGGACATTAAGACACTGGGTTTTTATTTGTTTGTTTGTTTTTTGAGATGGAGTCTCGCTCTGTTGCCAGGCTGGAGTACAGTGGTGTGATCTTGAATCACTGCAACCTCCATGTCCTGGGTTCAAGTGATTCTCCTGCCTCAGCTTCCCAGGTAGCTGGGACTACGGGCTTATGCCACCATGCCCAGCTAATTTTTGTATTTTCAGTAGAGACAGGGTTTCACCATGTTGGTCAGGATGTTCTCAATCTCTTGACCTCGTGATCTGCCCACCTCGGCCTCCCAAAGTGCTCAGATTACAGGCGTAAGCCACTGTGCCCGTCCGACACTGGGCTTTTTATGAGAGTGATAGATTACTAGGACCTGATTGTGTGGTAGAAGTAATGTAGGGGAAATGGCGATCATCTTCTTTAAAAAGCAATAGCTGTTGTATATCAATGATTAATGAAAAATTAGTTATTCTTGTAAATTGAAGAAAGAATGGTTATCATAGAGGGTAGTTCAAGTAAAAGAACCAGGACTGGGCGTGGTGGCTCACGTTCTGTAATCCCTGCAGTTTGGGAAGCCAAGGCAGACAGATCTCTTGAGGCCAGCAGTTTGAGACCAGCCTGGCCAACATGGCAAAACTCTGTCTCTACAAAAAATACAAAAATTAGCCGGACATGGTGGTGGATGCCTGTAATATCAGCTATTGGAGAGGCTGAGGGGAGAATCACTTGAACCCCGGAGACAGAGGTTGCAGTGAGCTGAGATCACCACCCTGGGCAACAGAGTGAGACTGCCTCAAACAAAAACAAAACCAGACAAAAGAACCAGAAGAGCGTGTGCACGTGTACGTAGATGTTTCACAACTGGTATTGTTTTACTACTGTTTTATTTAGAATGTATCACAAATTTTATGCTTTAATTAATAAAATTTAATCATAACTTTTAATGACTCATGTTTCTTCTGCTACCACAGTTTTCTCTCACCTCAGTTGGGTATTTCATAACAGATAGTGATAGTGCACCATTAGGCTCTCTAGGTTGAAGGAGTCTTGCAAGGAAACATGAGGTTTGGGCTTTAACTGTGGCAACTGACATCCAGTATCCTCCCCTTTAATTTGTTCTCATCCAAAACTAATCGATATATTTTTCTTTAATAAATGATTTTTCAAGGTTGCATTTATTTTTTCCTTTACATTACACTTTGAGTAAGAATCAGTGTTATTAGTGCTTTATGTGTAATCACTGAACCTGTGAGATATGTACTGATGTTATTCACATACCACAAACGAGGAAACTTAGGGTCAAGATGGTTTAAGGACTCATCCACATCCCTGTAAGTGGGTGAATCAGGTTTCACGTTTGGCTGCAAAGATGAGTGATACAGTTTGGATTTGTGTTCCTGCCCGGATCTCCTGTCAAATTGTGATCCCCAGTGTTGGAGGTGAGGCCTGATGTGACTGGATCATAGGGGCAGATTCCCCTGTGGTGCTGTACTTGTGATAGTGAGCGAGTGCTCATGAGATCTGGTTGTTTAAAAGTGTGTGGCACCTCCCGCTCTCTCTCTTCCTCCTGCTCTGGTCATGTGAAGTGCCTGCTCCCACTTTGCCTTCTGCAATCATAAGTTTCCTGAGGCCTACTCAGAACCTGAGCAGATGCCGGCATCATACTTCCCGTACAGCATGCAGAACTGTGAGCCAATTCAACCTCTTTTCTTCATAAATTATCCAATATCAGGTATTTACCCAATGTCAGGTATTTCTTCATAGCAGTGCAAGAATGGACCAATACAGTGAATGTCTTAACCATGGTGCTCCACTAACATGGCTAGTTACTTTTCTTTTTTTTTTTTTTTTTAAGATGGGTTTCACTCATTGCCCAGGCTGGAGTGCAATGGCACAATCTTGGCTCACTGCAACCTCTGCCTCCCTGGTTCAAGCAATTCTCCTGCCTCAGCCTCCCAAGTAGCTAGGATTACAAGCGTGCACCACCACACCCAGCTAATTCTCTAGCTTTAGTAGAAACAGGGTTTCAGGTTACAGGTGTGAGCCATCTCGCCCAGCATGGTTAGTTATTTCTATCTTTCACGAACTCAACATCTTGACTTAATTTTGTTAGTATCTTTTGTCATTTTATACTGGTTTATCTTCACACATAATTGTGACTATAGTAAGCATTATGTCTGTATTTTTATTTCATGGGCCAAATTACTATAAATACATACTTAAATAAGATGCCTCAGCCTCCCGAGTAGCTGGGATTACAGGTGCTCGCCACCACGCCCGGTTAATTTTTGTATTTTTAGTAGAGATGGGGTTTCACTATGTTGGCCAGGCTGGTCTTGAACTCCTGACCTTGGGTGATCCACCCGCCTCAGCCTCCCAAAGTGCTGGGATTGCAGGCGTGAGCCACCGCACCTGGCTGAGAGTCATATTTTCATCACATATCTGAATTACGATAAAGTTGGGGAGATAAAGCATACAGTCAGTTTTGTAGTCCAGTGCAAGGGGGACACAAGGTTTCTCTTAATCGGAAAAGAAGAACTGGTAGGTCTTTTCCCTTATACCAGGGAAAACATAGGAAATATGTGATTGTGTTGCTATTTGATTTGAAACTACAGTATTGGCTGGGTGTAGTGGCTCAGGCCTGTAATCCTGGCACTTTGGGAGGCCGAGGTAGGTGGATCACCTAAGGTCGGGAGTTCGAGACCAGCCTAACCAACATGGAGAAACCCTGTTTCTACTAAAAATACAAAAAATTAGCTGAGCATGGTGGTGCATGCCTGTAACCCCAGGTACTTGGAGAATTGCTTGAACCCAGGAGGTGGAGGTTGTGGTGAGCCGAGATCGCACCACTGTACTCCAGCATGGGCAACAAGAGCAAAACTCCATCTCAAAAAAAAAAAAAGAAACTAACTACAGTATTTTATGTGAAAATAATTTTTGATGACACTGACAATAAAGATATAAACTGGGGCTTAAAAACTCCACTAATTTTACTTGACATGCATTCATAAGTGGAAGTAGCAATATGCCCCTAAGTGGCCCCAGGGGTAGATGACAGAGGTGTGTATCTTAACAAGTCTTTGCAGAACTGGTACCATCAAATCTCTCAGACCGTTTTGACAAATGGTATTTGCTATCTTTTCATTAACCCATTACCCCACCCTACCCCCACATCTTCCCAGTAAGCTGTGAGGCTCCTGTCAATACATTTGTCTGTGCATTCCACAAATAGATCATCATGATTCTGGATCCACACTTGTATCTTAACCCCTCTAGGAAAAGAACTGTTGTTAGAAGAATCAACATGCAAAAATATATACAGTTTATATAGGTGTTTTGACTTTTAAGTTCCCCGAAATAAAAAATTGTGAACCATAAGAAGTCTCAAATTTTAAATATCTCTAACAGATATGATCACACACCTCACCAAGCCACTCTGACTGTGGATATTCCTCAATCATTATAAATATGTTCCCATCCTGACAATTTTCTCCATTTCCTCTGCCCAACTATTTTTCCCCATTTGTATCTATATGACAGAGTAAAATTAATGATTTTGCTCAAACATCATCTTATCCTATGGGCATTTCTTGAACAATTTAAAGTAGGACATCCTGTCATTCTATCACTACATGTACACTTCATTGAACTTATCCCCATATTATAATTAAGGCTGACTTACCCGTATAGAACATAAGCTACTT